GGGAAAGAGGAGAAAGGATGACTTGATGTGACACAGGCTGTAGGGCTTTACAGAACTGCTGCAATCACAACCATCTGCGCACGCTTCCTGGAACTCTACATGGCCTCAAAGCTAGAGGAAAGTGTGGAGTGGGATAGTCAACTTGCTTAACCCACTGCAGTGTCATGCCTGTGTCGCATCCGCTGTCTTAAATTACACAAGTGCTGTAGCCTCATCTAGGGACAGTGGTGGGAGTACGGGGAGGAGGGAATCACATTTCTGGGCACTCAATTTCAGGGTGTTGCAATGGTACTTCGGCTCCCTGTAGCGTGATTCAACAGAACGGACTTGCTTACTGCCAAAGTGCTTCTTGGCCAAGACAGCAGGGTATGTAATGCTGATGTGACGTCTTGGAAATCTGTGGTTTTTCCTATAGCAGCTGACACAGAGTGACCTTTGCCTGTACAATTTGAGGGATACAGTTGTTTAGCAGCTCACTCTGAAGGTGCAACCGGGGAATTATAGGTCCTGCCCCAGTCTGAGAGCTGCTGGGGTGTTGTAGTCATCAAAAAGTGGCATCATTGCAGCCTGAAAAAAAATTAGATTTGATCCCTGCTTCTGCAGGGTGATGCAGCAGTCCTGCTGTGTGCTTACTCGGACCAGGGAAAGATGCTCTGGTGTATGGGATGCTGCTGCTACTTAAAGCATCAAAAACCCCTCTGGCAGTAGTGGTACCAGGGCATGGGTTGTGCTGTGCATGGCTAAGACAGCTTTGGAGTGTCTATGCTGTGCAAACAGATGAGTAAGTGGTTAGGAATATTGCACAACCCCAAACCAATATAATTACTGCTCCTGGAGCATGTCCTGCAGAAATCAGAGCACTGCTGTGGATGGCTTGAGGTGTCTTGTTGGCCCTTTGGCACTTAGGCCAGAGTAAAAACCTCTTGAAAGGAGGAATAGTTTCCAGTGGTAAGTCACCCTTCCACACGTTTTCCCTCTCGGAGGGTGGCCAGCTGGCATATTAAGTGGTTGGGTCTTTTTTTCAGGTATTAAGCAAACCTGCTTCTGTTATGGGACACTGATTTCTTTTCTTAATTCTCTTTCCCCCTCAATACTGGGATGTGAGCCACTAATGTGGTGAGAGGGCCTGGAAGGAGGCGTAGCTGTGGCTACAGGGCCATGAAGAACTTGGTTGGTTTGGGCAAGAGGCGTGTAAGAGTACCTTTGGGAGGAGTAGTGAAACAAAGGGCACAGGCTACTGCAACCCAACTCATAGTCCTGCTTGGCTGGCAATCGTCTCATGTCTTAAGACCAGCCTGTTTATTCTGCTCCCTCTACTTGGTGAACTGAATTCCGAGTGGCTGCTCTTGCCACAGCCTCTGAAATCCAGGATGGCCCATGCCTCCAGCCCTTAGGCTGTTCCCCCTGGTGGGAAGAGACACAAGAGTTGGGGACTTTAACTTTTTTCCCTCAATGTTTTCTTATTGCCTGAAAATACCTGTCTTCATGTGAGCTCTCCTTTTATTTCCTAGCTGGTTAAAACCCACAATCTGCTGACCACCAGGAACTACATTTTTGGGTACCATCCACATGGCATCATGGGCCTGGGTGCCTTTTGCAACTTCAGCACAGAGGCCACGGGTGTCAGCCAGAAATTCCCTGGGATCCGGCCATACCTCGCTACCCTGGCTGGGAACTTCAGGATGCCCATTTTGAGGGACTACTTAATGTCTGGCGGTAAGTGTAAGAGCACTTAGTTCCTCCTACTCGTGCCCTTGACTCTGAGCTGTCTTCCCCTCTTTCAAGTGAAAAGCTGTGGCAGAGGCTCACGTAACCACTTCTCTCTTGTGGCGTCACAAAAACATCGCTTTCACATAGTTGACAAGAAGCTGTGAATAAATGTGACTAGCCTGGGCTGCGGGGACTGCTGCCCCTCTGCATTCATCTTAACCCATGGGTAGTCTTGTCCAAAGGCATAGTAAAGATACCTGGCATCTGTAGTTGTGGGTGTGGAAGATGGAGACGTGGGAGCAAGCTGTCCTAGTTATCATTAGGAGGTACTGGTAGACGAAGAAGTTGCGCTGACTGAAAATATAAGGTATTCATTAGCCTTTGAGATGTGAATATCATGGCTAGGTCTGCTCCTGGGCTTACTACATGAGCTGTCATGCATCTAGGTGTTATGGTGGTGGTAGATGCCCTCTTTACCCAACCGCACTTCTAGGTGCCTGGCAGGAGTAAAGAATCTGGGGTATTGCACAGCTTCAGCTATTCAGAAGAGCTCTTTCATTGAAAATATTCCTATAGGTGAGTCACAGGGATTAGGCAGTGATAGGAGTTTGCTGAATGACTTTAATAGGTCTGTTCTAATGGATTCCAGTGTTTTAATGAGAGAGGGCTTGTAGGTTATGACAGGGTGGAGGAAGCAGTGTTGACAGCCCCAAGAAACTGTTCTTGCAATGGCCTGAGCTTCCTTTTCAGAGTGAGGGATGCCTGTTGGTTAGGTAGAGATGAGGGTGTAATGATTAAAGACAATGACTTGAACAATCCAGTACCTTGTTGTCTGTTCCTGGGACAGATTCAACAATAAATTACTTAAAAACAGGTATCTTAACATAGTATTTTGGCTGAATCTCAATTCATGGCTGGAGAGAGGACAGGAGTAGCTGTACCCGGCTCTGACTTGTGAGGTTTGGCTGTTGCCAAGATTACTGCCTTAATTTGGTGAGGTAGAAGAAAACAAACTGGATCTGGTGCAGAAAAGGTGTTTGTCCCTGCCTAGGAAGGGCAGTATTTCAAGCTGGTTTCTATCTTGCTGCACCAGGTGGAATTTGCTGTGTCAAGTCTATAATTCCTACAGTTTGGGGAGTGCATGAGAAGTTGGGATCTGCTATCCAGTCTATGATGTCTGTAAACTTAGTTCACGTGTTGCTTAAGTTTCCATGTAATGTCAGCCTTTCTATAGTTAAAAAAGAAGTGTTAAATCTGCTCAAGATGCCTGGTAGACAAATCTTGTGGCCAGGCAGAACTGCCTCCCTCTTTTTTTGGATAGAAGGTGGGAGTAGACATTAACAACATGACTGCTGACAGGGCTGGCTTGGCTCTCACTGAGCATTACAGTTAAATTGGGGAAATTCTGCTTCCTCTATGTAGGATTTAAGTAAGATAGGTGTGAACTCTTGGATAAAGTTAACTTTCTGAAAGCCATAATTTGTCTTCGCTTTCCTGTGCTGGAACTTAGGGGTGTCAGTACATAGACTTTAGCTATCAGCACTCCTAAGTGATGTTCCCTGGATCCTTTGTTTTGTGGATGAACCACTTCAAGCAAAGTCCTGGCAAAAAAAAAAACAAACACAATACACATACTTAGTGGGTTTACAACCAACTGTTGCATATTACAAACTTTTTTATAGTTTTCTAGGTATTAGACTTATAGCAGGAATCGTTTAAGGCATGACGAGATGGCCAGAAAATCCTATACACTGTGTAAATGTGCTAAAGAGCACAATTTAGCGATTGCCACGCGTCTGCCTCTCTTGCTGCATTTCCTGGAGGAAGGCTTTCAATGCTCAGCACTGTGAGCAGGCATAATCTCCTTCTAATAAGTGTGAAATGGCTGAACATAAATCTGTGCCGCCCGGTTAGCCGGGGCTGTGTACTCAGTGAGCCTTGGTGTGAAGAGTGGGAGAAGTACGGAGGCTTCTGTCTGTCCTACAGAGAAGCAAGCACAGCCTGAGTCTTTCAAAGGAAACATGGTCAGACATGTAGCTGTGCTGAAAGAAATGAGTCTTTCATCTTCAAATCCAGCTGATCTCTCAAATGAGGCCTGTTCCCTTATGGTCTGGAGCTAGGATCAGGTGGTGACCTTCATGCCCAGATACACATGAAGGCTTGCAGACTTGCCCTGTATAATCTTACGGGGCCCATTCATCATTTAGTTCTTGGTTTAAGTGATGACTACCATGAGATGTGCAGAATCAGCTTCTAAAATTAAATTGTGTAATACTGCCCTTCCTAGTGCAATGACCTTAAGTACTCAACACAGCTCAGACATGTGTAGATGGGAATGTAAAGGATGGCATCTCACTTCTGTGGCTTCTCCTGGTCAAAAATGCGAGGCATGAGCAATCTCTTATAATAACTGCCGGATAAAAGCATGAGTGTCAAGAGTAGAGACTCAAAATTCTTAGCATTTTAGAGCAATAGAGTAGAAATTAAAAGGTCCCTCTTTCATTGGACTGAATGGTAAGATCCCTGGAGTGGGGCCTTATGCTTTAGGACAGGGATTGCTTTGTAAAGCTGGAGTGCTGTGACTGGTAGTACAGTCCTGTCCCTCCAGTGTGGGATAGAGGGAAAGACCTTCCCAGACACTCATCTCAGATCATGGACTTACCTAAGCACTCAGTCCCATACATTACTTCCTTCCCAGGAAAGCAAAGGATTGCACTCTCACCATGCAAGAGCTTGAGATGTTAGTTCAGAAAAAAATATTTTTTTAAACTACCATAACAGATCTTCCTCTGGAAGGCTTAACAATTCTTTTTGTATGGCTAAACCTTCCTCCTAAAGGACGACCTGTTCCACTACTTAGTTTTGCTGAGGAACTGGTGAAATTCAGACTCTCATGCATCAAAATAACACAATTGCTTTGCTTCCCCTGCTAAGGATAAACCAGCTCCTACTGCAACCTTTACTTGGAAGGAGGATGTCTTAAACAATTGCCTCTGGCATCGCTAAGAGTAGAAGAAAATCCTTGCTGAAGTCTTTTTGAGAGCTGGTGCTGTCCAGATCTATGAATTACTTGTTTAGTTGAGGAACAGGTTGTATATTTACACAACCCTCTGGCCACAGGGAAGTTGGACAACTCAACTTGCAATCAAGGCATGAACTTTTTGCTACAAGTGTCTTCAGGATCATCCAGACTATTCTTAATCTTGCAGCTTGACCCTTGTGTCTGTCTCTTGGATATGCAGGTATATGTCCTGTGAACCGTGACAGCATAGACTACATCTTGTCCAAGAACGGTAGTGGCAATGCCATCATCATTGTGGTCGGAGGGGCAGCGGAGTCCCTGAACTGCACCCCAGGGAAGAACTCAGTGACGCTGAAAAACCGGAAAGGATTTGTGAAACTGGCTCTACGGCATGGGTAAGAGGCAACCTCAATGCCAGAGCAGTACTGCTAGCATATGAAAGGTGCTCTCTTCCCCTGAAGCAGCTGATGTCTTCTAAAATCATAGAATGGTTTGGGTTGGAAGGGACCTTTTAAAAAGTCACCTAGTCCAACCCCCCCGGCAATGAGCAGGGACATCTTCAACTCTCTATCAGGTTGCTCAGCCTCGTCCAACCTGACCTCAGATGTTTCTGGGGATAGGATCTTGGATGGATTCTCCTTTCTGCAGTCCTGCTGTGTTGTGTGGATATATACTCAGAGTATCAGACACATGAGCTTGTCCGCTGTCTTCTGTCCCTGAGCATGGGACAGGGGTAAGAAGCTGCTTAAGACAGCAGGAAGCTTCCAGGGCAAGGAGACGCAGGTGTCGGTAACCTGCATGTGGCATTGCTGATGAAGCCCCTGTGATCTCCAGGGATCCCATGTGTCTGAAATGGGATGTCCATCAAAAATCAGAGATGAGAATATAGGGAAGCATATTCAGTGCCTGACTGGGTAGTGTTTCATGGGCCCATTGCCAGTACAATCCTCTTCTTGCATGTCTTAAAAGTATATCTACTATATGATGTCAAGTCTGGCTGACTTACATCAGTACCTTGTGCTTTAAACAAAGCTCTGGCCAGTAAAATCTACATATGTGCAGCCTGAAAGAGTACATGGCAGTGAGTGTGGTGCTGTAGTATTGACTGAAGACCGGGGTACGAGGTCCTAACATCTTTCCATCTTTCTAGTGCGGACTTAGTTCCTGTCTACTCCTTTGGGGAGAATGAAGTGTACAAGCAGGTGATCTTTGAGGAGGGTTCCTGGGGAAGATGGGTTCAGAAGAAGTTTCAGAAGCACATTGGCTTTGCTCCATGCATCTTTCATGGCCGTGGACTCTTCTCCTCCAACACCTGGGGATTGTTACCTTACTCCAAGCCAATCACTACTGTTGGTAAGGTCTTGGTATAAACATGCTATGTGCTTCTCTAGGTAGTAGCATACTTGAGTCTATGCCATACCCCTACTCTAGCTTGGTCTTGGAGTCTTAACTAGAAAAACTGTTTTCCCTTCTATATAAAACTTTCCAGCACAGCTGAGAATGAGCTAGAAGAGTTTCCAGAGGCTACAGGCTTTCTATCATGCTCTACTACCAGACAGTTTTCCAAGTGGGCTCTTTTTTTGGGGGAAAAAAATGCTGTAGCTGTTAACTTATCTGGTCTTGGATGGCAAAATTCAGAAGCAGCCTGCCCCAGCCCTCCCTGCCCGCCGCCCCCAAACCCCGGGACTGGCAGTGTGATGCTGTCTGATGGCTAAATCCTAAAGCCAACCCTAAAATTTGCCTTTGAGTCTTCCAACCCAAAGCAGCAAGGCTTTGAGGGAGGGGGGAAAAGTGTTGCTTTTATTTGTGGAGGGTGTGTGTAGGGGAATACACAAGAACTTCAGCTTTTAGTCTTGATTCCTGTTAATTGAGGAGGGATTTATCACTTTGCTGTAAACAGAAGCAAGTGGGACTTCCCAGACACCTTGCACAGTAGAGGCTCTGCACTGCTGGCATTTGTGTAGCTAAAATGGATCTGGGTATCAGTACAGATGTGATGAGGGTCCTGGTGATGGGACAATTGTGCTTCAGAGCCTAGCAAAACTGGGAGGAATTGGGCAAACCTCTGCTATAACGGCAAGCTGTGCTATGCCGGGGTGGATGTGCTGAATTACCATAGCTGTGGCCATAGAAGGCAAGTCTCCGGGCTGTACAGGAGCGCTCAACCTAACGTGGATCTTTCTCTCTCTTTATCAGTTGGGGAGCCCATCACCATCCCCAAAATCAATAACCCATCCCAGAGGGAAGTGGATTTCTACCACAGCATATATGTGGACTCCCTGATCAAACTCTTTGACAAGTATAAGAGCAAATTTGGCCTGCCAGAGACTGAGGTCTTGGAAGTCAACTGAAGGGACTGGCTCAGCAGCACCTCCTCAGAATCAACACATTTTCTCCAGGAGTCCAAGCTGTCATGTACTTGAAAGCATGTGTGGGTGTATGTGTCTTTCAAAGAAAGTGTTTCAAGTATTGCTAGACCACTTTTTTTAAAAAAAAAAAGGCTTTACTTTGGATAAATCCCATTACAAACCTTTCTCTGTCCAAAAAAAGCACAACTCCCCATTGCTGTGAGGATTTGGATGGGGGAAGCGATTGCCTCTGTAATCTGCTATATAATGCTGTTGGATTGCCAGTAATGGATTAGAAGCACTCCTACAGCTACTGTACCCACTAGCACAAGCTATTTTGGGAGAGTAGGATCCATCCGGTTTTCAGTCAAAAAAGCAGGAGGTTGACTGGACCGGGATGGCAGTATTACAGGCGTGTTGCACAAAGGCCATGTTGAGACATGCTTACATAGCACAAGGGCATTTCTGCTTGGGAAAAGCCCCTTCTGAAAGCACATGCAGGTTGCCAAATCCCCTGGTGTGGCACCTACTGTGTGCAGTGCAGGAAACCAAAGGATATGAGTCTGGTGGACCTCGATCCATTGGTGTAGTGGATACTTTGGTGGCTGTAACTTCACTTGTATTTTGAATGTCAGTTTGGAAGCAGGTCTGTCCCAGGTACTTCTTGCACAGAGGTACGTAGCTGGAAATATGGGACTCCCTCACAGCCACAAAACTCCAAGGACAAGTTTGAGGAGCAGTGGGATGGTGCAATCATGTGGCCCCAGTGTTGCAGACTCTTAGGGTAGCCTTTAGGGGTAAATGCAGTGGAACTATTTATGGAAGTGTTTCAGACCCCAAAAGATTTTGGGGAAAGGTAGGACTAACTTCTGCCCAAAGATGGCTTTTAAATATTCTGTCCAGTGAATGTAAAGGAGTAGCCTTTTCAAGCATAGGATCTAAAGTGAGTGACTTTTTAAAGTGTTTATAAAACATTTACGTGGATGTTATCACTGCTTGTAGTGAGATTTCTTCAGAGTACAATGCGTTTATGTATAAACCTGAAACATTGCACTACTTGCATGTCTGACTTGCCTTCTCAACGGCTCAGTTAAGTGTGTGTTGAGCTCCAAAATGTGCCTTTCTTCCATGCAAGAGGATGGTACTTCACATTCCTGGAATCTTGCCTCTAAAGACAAATGTTCATCTGTCATATTTGATAGGTTATTGTATTACAGAGTACCAATTTTTGTACAAATTTCTAGAAATAAACTTGGGCAAAAACAGTGAGCTGGTTTGGTCTCTTTGCTGTTGCAGTGGTGTGTGGCTGGGTTCATGTTGCAGCAATTGTTTGTGTGATTGCAGCTGTGCCTTGGCTTTTATGGGGAGAAAACTAGTCCATCTGTCCAAAAGCAGACCTACACTAATCTGTGTTGTCCCTGCAAGGGACACCCGGGATAGGTTAAGCAAAACTTTGTGGTTTTAGGGTTGGCTTTTGCCTGTGAGTTTATAAGGAGCTAAGGCAGCCTAAATCTAAGGACCTCCTTGACTGAGCAGATACAGAAAGTTCATGCCCTGTTGCTCCTTTCAGCAAACTGCTTTGGGTTGTGTTGCCACATAGCACGCGGAGCTAGACTGCAACTTAGAATCATAGGATAGTTTGGGTTGAAAGGGACCTTTAAGAGTCGCCTAGTCCAACCCCCTGCAGTGAGCCCGGACATCCGCAACTAGAGCAGGTTGCTCAGAGCCCCGTCCAACCTGACCTGGAATGTTTCCAGGGATGAGGCATCAACCACCTCTCTGGGCAACCTGGGCCAGTTGAACCAAGGAGGGCATCCCTTGTCCTCAGCTGAGGAAATCCTTCCAGCTCTTGTCAGAGCCCCCAGCCTTCTAACACTGGAGGTGCAAAGTGCTCCAGAAATAGCACACGTTGCCGTAAAGTTCATGTAGGCTCTTTTAGTAACAGGTGAGGGTTTAACTTGTCTGTTAGGCTGGGGCTGGCCTATGAGATGTGGAAGTGGTCCATCAGCACTGGCTGACTTTTAACAGGCTGACACCACTGTTCTTCAAGGTGAAAACCAAACTTATTCTTTGCCCTTTTCAAGCTTGGTGAATGGATTTTGAAAGTCTTCTACTCCAAAAGATAAACCTGTGTGTTGCTTGCTTTCCCTTTTTTCTCACCCCTTAGCAGAACTGATTTTATTCTCTGTTTTTTGCTAGCAAACACTAAGGCTGTGTTTCAGGTGACCTGCCTGGAAATGCACAGCAAGAAGAGCCATGAATGTTCTGCCCGAACCACTTTTGACAGTTTGACCAGGCAAGTCACTAGAAACCACCCTTGGCACAAACTGGAGGAGGTCAGTTCTTGCAGAGCTTTTTCCAAGCCATGTTTTCAATTATCAAGTTTTATATCAAAGCACAGCTGCTGCTTGCAAATCCCCCTAAAGCAGAGGGAGGGAGTTATTTCAAATAAGGATCCATTCCTGCAAAGGCTGCAGTAATGGATGTCCTGTAATTATCCGTATGGGAAGGTCAGACCAGCTCTGCCCAAAACTCTTGGCTGTGCTGGAAAACCTGTTAATTAAGGTCTAATATGAGATTGCCACTGAATATTGTTCTTCTACCTACTTACCACCAGTCTATAAAAAGGGACTTTTCCTTTTATCTCATCTTGTGCCCAAGGTACTAGCCCAGGACATGCTAGCCTCATACAAGTTTCAACCACTCTTCTGAGCTGAGTTCATAGACAAATGACTCCTTCCAAGCTGGTTTTTGGTAGTTGGTTTTCCCTTTTCTTGCCAATCTTAGGAGCATAGCTAACAGCCTTACCTAAAATCAATCTCTGTTTTTTGGTGTGTTTAATGATTTTGATTGATTTAGTGAAAGACTCATTGGGGCTCTCCTGGTACTGTAGGTATCTTGCCCTGTGCCTATGTTCTCATACGTCTGCCCTTGCCTGTGTAACATAGAGGCTCCCTGGGGAGGGGCTGCCTTTGATGTACATCCAGAATAAAAGAGATCATATTGTAAATTAACCTAAATGTTAACAGAAGTTAAAGTTATCACCTCTGACTCAGTGGTGACCATGCTATATGTTGCTGGGACAGTGTCAGGATGGCATCTCTGTACTCTTACCTTGCTCTCCAGACATCTTCCCTTGGCCGTTGCAAGAGGTAGGCTCCTGCCCATGATAGACCAGCCCTGACAAAGCTGTTCTTACAGTCTCTTTTGAGAAATGGGCATCTTTGCTTTCCTGTGCACCTGTCTTGCCTTTAGTTCAGGAACCTCCCCTTCTTCTGTTATTTAACTTGACATTAAGTGTATTTGCACTTCTCCAGTGCTTTAAGACCTCCCTGTCCTCCTGCATTCCTCATTATACCTGCAAGAGTCCTGACAAATCTGTCCCTTCCTCTGTACTGGGCTGTATCAGCCCTTTCTTGTTTCAGTTGTCTTGTACTCTTTTATTTGCCCCTTCCCGACAGATGCATTTATCTTCCTTTCTTGCTGGGATTTGGCTCACGAACTTGCCACTTAAGAATGGAAGGAAAGTAGCTTGGGGCCTTTCAACCTGTTTTTGTACCTGCTTGTGCCTCCTTACAGGCTGGAAGAGGGGACTTTCCACTGTCCCTTCTTCTTCCTCATGCATTTACGTAGTTTCTGTCCAATTTTATCCCCTTTGCCTGAAATCAGAGCTCTCCCTCTGGCAAACAGAACTGGAACAAAAGGGTACATACCTAAATTTATGGAAAAAGCATGGGTGCAGGCCACCTGCAATGATTTATTCCTTCCTTGACTGCCAGCCATAGGGCATCCTGAGCATGTTACGTGGATTTACTTAGCTGCTTTTTCCCTATCTGTGAAGCAGGGCAGCAATATTTTATACAGCACCAGCGTGTCATGAGGTAGGATGTCACCAGCTTGCTTTGAGACCCCCGTTAACGAAAGTAATATAAGCAGAATAGTGTCAGTTGTAGTGCGTACACAGCTTTTTTTTGATTCAGTCTGGGAGCAGAGCAGTGTCTAATGAGAGGCGGAAAAAGAAAAAGAGAGGACATGCTGCCCTCATGAGGTGCCTGTCAGTAACTCCATGATAAGAAAAAAAAAAATCATTTTGGGGAAATGCCAGGTAGCAATGCCGAGAAACCACTAACCCAGACTGGAACGGCCTCGTACGAGGAGGAGGCACAGAGAAGAAATGGATGCGTTACCCTCTGGATAAATATTTTGTCAGTTTAGCCCAAGAAGCAGTACCACATGGAATAACAAACGAGTTTCTACGGTGCAAATCCTTCTATGCTTCATGCTGTAAAATGATCCTTGGGAAAATAATGCTATTTGGCAACACCTTAGTTAGGTTTTTTCCCCTCTAAAGGAAAATCTGGACCATCACAAAAATGGGCAATTGCCTGCCTAGTTCTGCGAGGGGTTCAAAGGACCACCTTTTGCAGCTGAAAGGGCAGGAAGAAAAATGCTGGTGCAGAGCTTTCTCTACTCCGTTTTGTGGTTATGTTTTCTTCTTCTGGGCCTGGAGACTTGGGGGTGAAGATGTTTTAACAGGCTATAAGAGGCTGTAAGAGAACCCTGGTGGGAATCTGAACTCCATCCATGGTCTGATCAATTACCAGTTCTCTGATTTCTCACAGATTTGATCCACTCTTTCTAGCTGATCACACATCAGGAGTTTTTCCCAAAATAGTTCCCAGCTTTACTCTGCACTTTCTGTTGTGCTTTGATCAAAGTTACGCAGTGCAGGATGGCCCTGCTGTTATGTTTGGCCAAACCAAATATTAGTCTCGGTGCCAAGATCTCATATTCCCGTTGCGTGGCATCCCAAAAACACTCTTATTGTGGATTCCTTAATACAAACATTGCTGTCTAATAACCTTCTCCCAGTCAGGCATCAGAACTAACTGGAATGACATTTATTTCTTTTCTCTCACCCTGAGAGTGTGAGTTTGGGGAAATGTGCTGGATTTGGCTGGCATAGAGTTAATTTTCTTCACAGTAGCTAGTATGGGGCTATGTTTTGGATTTGTGATGGAAACAGTGTTGATAATACAGGGATGTTTTCATTATTGCTGAGCAGTGCTTACACAGAGTCAAGGCCCTTTCTGCTGTGCAGACCACCCCACCAGCAAGAAGACTGGGGGGCACAAGAGGCTGGGAGGGGACACAGCCAGGACAGCTGACCCCCGCTGCCCAAAG